AAAGTCAAGCGCATGACATCGGAAAAAATGCGTTTTGCATGAGTAAGAAATGTCTCCACGCCATGAGATTCTTACTCAAGAAATTCAAGAAAGTCATGTGCTTGAGAAAAAAAGCTTCACTAGGGTATATATATATATATACAGAAACCCTACTACATCAAAAATTTCCCGAAATATTGACACAGATCTGAGGTCACACACACAAAAAAGATCTCATGCAAGAACTATGACCACGGATAGAAGAATGAAAGGGAAGAAAACAGAAGGAAAAATATGACATCATATCATATATGGACAGAACAAAAGAAAGGTATACATATCAGAGACTGAATCGAACTGAAAAAGAGCAGAAGTCTGTAACTTTTGTAATTGCGCACAATATTTCTCAGATTTTTTGTCCAGATGGAGATTTACTCAAATTGTGATAATTCGAAACAGGAAAGCATTTTCGCGATCGTATGTTGTCATGAAGTTTAATCATTATAATGCGACGCATATTTACGGCGTTCATTTTTTTGGGCTTACTTATGTTTTTTTTTCTTTTCTTTCTTTGCTTCAACAGCGCGATACTGTACAATGTACACTGTACATTACACAGCGTCAAAGCAGAAAGGAAAAAACACTGTACGTCTTTTTCCGATAAAAAAGACACATGCTGGAAAATAGATGAGTGAACCGTAACCGAAAAATATCTCCTGATCTGTTTTCTAGTGACAAGACCCGAATAAAACCCGTACGTTTTCTTTCTTTGATCCGATCCGAATCAATACTTTTTACCTTAACCCGAACCAATATTATTTATATTGACCAGAACCCAATCCGACCCGCGCGTCAAACCGATACATATGGGGTGAACAAGAAAAAAAGAGCTAAGAAACTAAACTCACATAGAAAGGGAAAAAAATATCTCCTAACAATGGTCTTACATAATTTTTCTCAGTTGCGAAAACGTAGTGTTCGATCTGTGTAACACATATGCTTGTACACCTCAACAAGATCTGTTTGATGACACATAAGATGCTGTTACAACGCTTACAATTGACAAAAAAAATATTTATATTACTGGTTCTTAGTCTTTGTTAATTCTTACTGCCCATTAATGCGTGGAAAGGAGTAGCTAATCGTCCTCAAAAACTAACGCTTCTTTGATCAAAAAGTAAAAGAAAGAAGTACAAAAAGTGCATAGCTTTGATACACACTGAGAAAAAATTTTGAGATGTGTCGGGTTGACTTCTAAAATAAATTCATCTCTTTCGGTGGATAGTGGCGTTTTCTTTGACAAATCGATTTATCTTTTAAAACAAACTTTGTATTTTAGGCGATGGAAGCTATGGAGATTGAATCAGTCCACGTGGATTCAGAGGAATTGACATCTGCTAATTTATATCATGCTTGCGAAAACAATAATATTGAACAAGTGATGCGTTATATTGAATCAGCAAATATCAATGATATAATTAATGAAAAATATCATCCAAGTGGAAGTACTGCCCTGCATATTGCTGCGCACAAAGGACACAATGAGATTGTAAAATTATTATTGAAAAACGGTGCATTTCGTTCAACAACAAATAAATATGGTTTAACACCATTTGAAGAAGCTCGAACTGAAGAGACAAAAGATCTTTTTCGACGAATAAATACTAGACATTCATTTATCGGAAATCTATATGATACTATTATATATGATGATTATATTGAATGGGTGATTGCAGATACTGACTTAGTAAAAGAATGTGATCACTTCAAAAACGGTACGGATTCATTGAAAAGATATGACTATTTAGCAACACGAGAACTATTAGTTGAAATCATCAGTTATTATATTAAAGAATATCTGGTACAAAGCGAAGGCTTGTCTGATGCACACATAAAAGAGATTGAATATGATTTTACAGAAGCACTTCACCAACGAGATATCATTCATTATCTTATTAAAGCTTATACATCATCAACAGCAAACTTTTATAAAATTCTTAATAAACATTTGGCAAAGTACTTGATGGATTATTTCGATCAGAAGATTAACTTTAGACCTAATTATCGGCTAGTTAATTGTCTAAAAAACATTGTAGCTCTACTCATACATCATCCAGATTTTATCAATCATCATTTCATCGGAACAACATATCGTGGAATGTTAATGACTGAAAACGACCTTGGCAAGTATCAAACTGGTAGTCAAATAATGAATCGAACATTTCTATCTACATCGAAAAAGCTAACAGTTGCAGAGTTCTTTGCTGGGGAAGGACAAAAAAACAGTTTTCGGAAAACACCCGATAGAATGCACATTCAAATATCAGTAGTGTGTCAATACAAAATCAGAAATATCCGCACTGCTCTCGATATTGAATTAATGTCGAATATTTTGGATGAACAAGAAGTGTTAATTACACCATTTGCAACATTTAACGTTACTAATGTGAAACGCCATGATCCAACAACTAATCCATCCGTTTTGGTTGAAATAGAGCTAGAAGAATATGAGTCAGTTTGTGAACTTACTTACTTGTGTGAACTGATTCGGTACCAGCATAAACGATATTCTCGGATTGAACGGTTAATGAATCCAGCAAAATCTTTTCCAACTGAACAAAGCTACATTAATTTAGCTATACTAGAAATCAAAGAACAACAAAAAAAAGAAAAGAAGCTCTGTGACGCTCAGCAAAGGGATGCGATCATCGGTACCTTTGAAGAGATACACGAAGCAAAGGCTGTAGTCGATGTCAAGGACATTTTTGAAACTTGCAAAAATCAAACGAAGAAGGTACTCGTGCTTGGACGGGCTGGAATCGGCAAAACAACATTTTGTCGATATGTTGCTTATCGATGGGCAAATGGCACAATTTGGCCACAATATAAGCTGATTTTCTTGATTCCACTACGGCGTTTAACTGAAAGTCGTTATCCTCCATTGCCATCCGGCATTAGCTATTCTCGAATTGATCTCGTTGAAAAGGAATGTTTCCATCATGCTCTTTCTGACAAAGATAAAATATATTTGATAGAACAGTTTGACAAAAGTCAAGTTCTATGGCTTTTGGATGGGTATGATGAAATTGTACAAAATGTACCAGCACATCTACAATATTTATTCGAGCAGTTACTTAACACTCCACACCACATCTTGACCTCTCGTCCATACTCAAACAAGTTATCATATGATGTGGTAATGGAAATTACAGGTTTTACGGATGATAATATAGGTGAGTATGTGAAGCAGTTCTTCGATCAAATTACAGGTGAATCAGATGATGCATCATCCACAGGACAAAACCTACTGGACTTCTTAAAATTGAGTACAAACATTTGGGGTATTGCACATATTCCAGTGAACCTCGAACTGATTTGTAGTCTTTGGGCCGACACAGATTGGTCCATGAGTAGAGAACTCACAATGACACAGCTATACGATAGGATTACAGAATGGCTATGTCGAAGATATTTGGAAAAACAACGAAACATTGAAATAATTCTAATGACTAAAGAGGATGTTTATAAAAGTTGCCACAAAGAACTGGCATTCCTAGAAAGCATGGCTTTTAACGGCATGACAACTAACACGATAATTCTACGGCCGCCATTGCTGAAAAAAGCATTAAAGGATACTAAGTGCTCGTTAAGGGATCACCCATACTTACTCAATATAGGCATTCTAAAATCATTCAACCATCAGGCTGTTGGCACTCAAATCGAAACTGACAAAGACCATTATTTTGTTCATCTGAGTTTTCAGGAACATTTCGCTGCACGATATTTGGTTACCGCTCTCGCGGATCCTCCATGCCAAGAAGCAATCGAGTTTCTCAAGTGCAACAAGTACAATCAACGTTTCGGACAAGTATTTACTTTTGTATCGGGTCTTCTGACTGAGAGTAATTCTGAATCATGCATAAGAACATTCTGGGCCACAATACTAAGAGAGCCGTTGGATCTAGTTGGCCTAAGACACATACAACTAGTTATTGCTTGCGTTGAGGAGACTAGTGGTAACTCAAATCTTCCTGGTCGCGCCGAGTTGATCAGCCCGATAATAAAGTGGTTAAAATATGCTGTGCTTTCAGAATCCGATGTAATAATTCAACAGCTGACAGACTCATTGAGAAGGAGCGCTTCATTAACACGTGAGCCAGCAGTAATGGATACTCTGATCCAGCTGCTTCAAAACCAACAAACAAAAGTGAAAACGAATGTATGCTCTTTGATATCAAAATTACCACTTACAAAACCTCATCCTAAGCTTATTCATTCACTGCTCATTGCGCTTCGTGACGACAGTGCAGATGTGAGATATTCTGCATGTCAAGCTCTCTGGAAAATGGGTGACAAAGCAGCAACTTCTGAAGTGCTTAGAGCACTGCTCATTGCACTTGGTCATGAGAAGTATTATGTTAGATCTTCGGTATGTAAAGTTCTAAGGCAAATGGGAGACAGAGCAGCAACTTCTGAAGTGATTAGAGCACTACTCAATGCACTTGGTGATGAGAACGAGAATGTCAGACAAAATGTATGCAAAGCTCTCGGGAAAATGGGTGACAAAGCAGCAACTTCTGAAGTGATTAGAGTACTACTCAATGCACTTAGTGATAAGAATGGGTATGTCAGACAAGATGTATGTGAAGCTCTCGGGAAAATGGGTGAAAAAGCAGCAACTTCTGAAGTGATTAGAGCACTAGTAAATGCACTTGGTGATAACAATGAGAACGTCAGATATTCTGCATGTGAAGCTCTCGGGGAAATGGGAGGCAAAGCAGCAACTTCTGAAGTGATTAGAGCACTAGTAAATGCACTTGGTGATAACAATGAGAACGTCAGATATTCTGCATGTGAAGCTCTCGGGGAAATGGGAGGCAAAGCAGCAACTTCTGAAGTGATTAAAGCACTATTCAATGCACTTAGTGACGACGATGAAAGTGTCAGATATTCTGCATATGAAGCTCTAGGGAAAATGGGAGACAAAGCAGCAACTTCTGAAGTGATTAGAGCACTAGTAAATGCACTTGGTGATAACAATGAGAACGTCAGATATTCTGCATGTGAAGCTCTCGGGGAAATGGGTGAAAAAGCAGCAACTTCTGAAGTGATTAGAGCACTAGTAAATGCACTTGGTGATAACAATGAGAACGTCAGATATTCTGCATGTGAAGCTCTCGGGGAAATGGGAGGCAAAGCAGCAACTTCTGAAGTGATTAAAGCACTATTCAATGCACTTAGTGACGACGATGAAAGTGTCAGATATTCTGCATATGAAGCTCTAGGGAAAATGGGAGACAAAGCAGCAACTTCTGAAGTGATTAATGCACTTAGTGATGAGAATGAGAATGTCAGATGGCGTGCATGTAAAACTCTCGGGAAAATGGGAGACAAAGCAGCAACTTATGAAGTGATTAGAGCACTGCTCAATGCACTTGGCGATAAGAATGAGAATGTCAGATATTCTGCATGTGAAGCTCTCGGAAATATGGGTGACAAAGGAGTAACTTCTGAAGTGATTAGAGCACTACTCATTGCACTTGGTGATAACAATAAGAATGTCAGATATTCTGCATGTGAAGCTTTCGGGAATATGGGTGACAAAGCAGCAACTTCTGAAGTGATTAGAGCACTACTCAATGCACTTGGTGATAAGAATGAGAATGTCAGACAAAATGTATGTGAAGCTCTCGGGGAAATGGGTGACAAAGCAGCAACTTCTGAAGTGATTAGAGCATTACTCAGTGCACTTGGTGATAAGAAGGCTTCTGCAAGGAAGTGCAGTGACCGTTACTGGAGAGACTATTGTAGTATACGGTGGTAAAGAGCCAACGGTGGTGGACGTTTGCAGTTTAAATCATACAAGACTGAGTCAGAAATTAGTGGAAGCTTTTGTTGATCAAACAGAAAGACTTGACTTATCTTTTAACGTGCCTAGTTCGTTTGTTGAAAACGTTTCGCTTGATGAGCACACTTTCTCTCTAATAAGGGGTTCCATTCGGACATGTAGGATATCGTAATTTAATGGCGGCTTCACATCCTTATTAAGAAACAGTACAGTTGTTTTTATTCATTCTTCGTAGTTTTAGCACTGATTGGCCCCAATAAACTTGTGAAAACAAAGGTTCTCTCGTTGCTCAGATTAAAAATGAGTAGATGTAACTGGTATGAAATATTAGTTAATGCTTGAGAATTAACGTTAGTTCATGCAGCTACGAGACACGTTTTCTTTCCTTGTTCTTCTTGCAATAGTTAAATTTAGGCGCTCCGATATAACGTTTTGACAGATCACTGTCCTGGATACGAAAATGTCATTTTCAGGAAATATTTTATTACTCTTCTCTCACTGGTTTAGAATATCCACCTTATGTTTCCACATAGCCGTAGAATCTACCCGTTGATGCGAGAGGAAAAACCGGATTGCTCCAGAAGAAATTGTTCCTCCAGCGGGAACCAGCTAATAACGGAAATCAATCAAATCATTTCGAAAGTGCCAATTAAATTGGCTTTTATAGTTTGATTTTACTTGACGTTGTAACTTCTGTACTGTATAATTGTATTATTCTGAACCGATCTTATAAAAAAATGAGTAATAACAACGGTTGAAAAATTTCTGCGTTATGTATGCTGTTTTTTTTTTGCACCATATTAATAACATATTATAAACTGAAATGCAAAAACAGAAAAAGAAAGAAACAAAACATGTGTTTAAAAGAAAGGTAAAAAAGGCAGTGTAGAGAAATCTATTTTCTAGAGGAGCAACAGAGACATTTTTTATTATCACGTTCGTAATATAGTTAACAATAAACATAACAATTGCGGGTAGATTGTTTACAGATCTATACCTTTCATCCATTTTTTCTGAAAAAAATTGTGTCCAGTAGCATCTGGGCCATATTTTTTTTACTAAAGTTTAGTTGTTCTTGCATTTATTTCATTCATATTCTACATTTTACCGAAGAACAGAAAAAATTCATAATACAAAACTAGCGAGAAAATAAGAAGAAAATATTTCCTGATAAAAGATTCGAAAATAGTTTCTTTACCTTCTTTCCTAGTATGTTGTACGACTACTAACGAGACACGAGACTACGAGACTATACCCGGGTACGAGAGCGAGTATACGAGAACCCCGGTCTCGCTCTCGGTCTCGTTACATACCTAACCGACATCGACTCCATCTGTGCACAACTAGGTAAAGATGTGACTGCATCGTCGAACGATGATCTCTCGATGAGCGTCATCTCCAACAACAACTCATCATCCAACAAACAAGAAGCCTCATTCATGTACTTTCAGCTCCTCATCGACATTCTCCTTCGCATGGATGGCACACATGGCAATGGCAAACAAGAGATGGTGGATGCATGTCGACAACAGTATGCTGGCAAGGAGAGTGAACCCCAGATCGTCACTGAGTTCGATGATGAGTACTCGGCTGAGACAACCATTTGGTAGTACACGCGTGAGTGTTTCCTCTATCGCATGCTCATCCAGGCACT